GCCGACCCCCTCTTGCCCGGGGGTGAGAAGCCGTGCGAGATGATTGGCTGTTCCCCTCCCCCTTTCTCCCTCCCCCAGGGTCCACAATGCTGTTTGAAGGGGCATGGGGCAACCTCCCCAGGGTGGGGGCACGAGTTCGCCAACGCACCCCCCAGAGCCTCGGGAGCTTCCAAGGAGCCACCAGACAGCCAAAGAGGGCATAAAGAAAGCGCCAAGGTATCCCCAAAGAGCGTCGACGACGGTCCAAGATGGCTTCGAGACCGCCCAAGACGCCCCCAAGACCGCCCAAGAGTGATCCCAGAGGACCGCCGAGAGGGCCTCAAGAAGCATAGATCGTCCACTTTCCAATGGAAAGCGTATATGCTTAGGACACTTGTTTCTCTCGTCTTGAAAGCATCCAGGACGGTCCAACGAGCCCCCAAGAATGTCCCACGACGGCCCCCGAGGGCCCCAAAACTGCCCAAAAGGGCCCCCAAAGAACACCGGGGCCCCGGGACGGCCCGAGAGAGGCCCGAGAAGGCCCCAAGGATGGGCCCCAGAATGGGAATGCGAACCGGCGGCCCCAAGATGGCCCCGAGCGCCTCCGAGCGGCCTCCGAGGCGCCCCCCCAAAGGCCCCAAGAGGCCCCCAAGAGGCCCCCAGGAAACCCCCAAGAGGCTTCAAAAAATGACAACAGGCCCCACTCCTCCTCCTCCTGCTCCTCCCCCCCCTCCTCCTCCTCCTCCTCCTCATCCTCCCCCTCCTCCTCCTCCTCCTCCTCCTCGTCCTTTCATCCTCCTACCCGAACCCCTGCGGAGGAGGGCTCAGAGCGAGGCGTTGGTATCGTTGTCTGCATCCGCCGACGTCCGCTCCCCAGGACTGCGGAGTCGCGCGAGCTGATCGGCAATCCCCTTCCGGAACACATGTTAGCCCCACACGGGTGCACAGGTGGGTGGCTGCGACGTTCCGAGCCACGACTCGCCCTGGCAGCTGCCATGGGCTCCTCACCTCGCTGTGGGCCGGCGGAATGGCGTAAGCCTCTCGAGCAATGAGAAACACCATGTGAGTCAAACCACAGCAACGGAGAAGGAAACACAACAAGAACAGCCAGGAATGAGACAAAGTTTCGGAGGTCCGCGCGGATTTCTTGGATCAGCGCTGGGCTCCCCCTCCCTGGCTGCGACTCCAGCGCCGCCCCTGGCGCGCTCCGCGAGCGAGGGGGAGTCCAACGCCGATGCAAGCAAACCGAGCGGGCCTCCGAAAAGTTATGCTCGTGCCGTTTTTCCTCTTCGGGACGAGCAGTAGCCGCGCCGAGTCAGACTGGCCCTTCTGGGCGCGGTCAAACTGGAAGGCGGTTTCCTCCTCCGACATCGGCGGCTGCGGCCTTGAGGGGCAACGATAACTGGTGACACAGGCTCAAGGGGAGAGAACACCAACCTGAAATCGGCGATACATCGCCGATGGATCGGCGATCGGCTCTCGACAGCGATATCCCACTGTTCTGGACGGGGATGGGCAGGCCCCTCTCGTTCATCGATGGGCAATTGGGGGTCGATGCGTCGCCCCTCCCTGAGGCTTGGCCCTCCTTCACGTTGCCCCGGTCTTTGTCTGGCTCCTGGGCAAGACGCAGCTCGGGCCTCCCGCGGCCCTTCGGGACCACCCGGGCGCCCCATGGAACGCTCTCGGCGAGGCGCAGCCGCTGGAAGGCACCCCCCCAGCCCGGCGAACCGCTGCGAGCCGACGAGCGCCCCGAGAACCTCGCACCCCGCACCCGCGAAAACCTCGGCGCGCCGCTCGGCGAGGCGCCGCTCTGCTGGACGGCGCCCCGAGGCCGGGGGGCACCGCCGAGAGCCGCGGCGAGAGCGGCCGAAGACCTCGAGCCTCGACGCGACGAGGCTGTCCCCGCGGCCTGCCCTCCTCCTTGGGCGCGACCAGGCCGGCAGCGTTGCGCTGCTCCACGAGGCTGCGCCAGGCCGGCGCCAGGGCCGCGTGCAGCTTCGCCGGCGTGGTCAGCTCGCCGCCGATGAGCGGGATTGTCGGGGGCTGCGAGGCCAAGCCCCCTCGAGTCACGAAGAGGCCACGGCGGCAAGATCTTCGCACCTGTAGCCTCTGGGGAGGCCCTAACCGGGCACCGGGACCGTCAAAAGGCCACTCAGGATGAGCAGCCGGCCCCGGGGAATCGACTGAGACCTCTGGGGGTCGACGCCGCGAACAAAGCATGACGTCGGGCATCTGGAAAGGGTGTCCCTGGCCCCCGAGGTGCCCCCAGCCGTCTCCTCCTCCTCCTCCTACTCCTCCTCCTCCTCCTACTCCTCCTCCTCCTCCTACTCCTCCTCCTCCTCCTCGTCTCCGCCTCCGCCTCCGCCTCCGCCTCCTCCTCCTCCTCCTCCTCCTCCTCCTCCATCTCCTCCTTCTTCTTTTTCTTCTCCTCCTCCTCCTTATTCTTCTTCTTCTCCTCTTCTTCCTTCTCCTTCACCTTCTCCGTCTCCTTCTCCTTCTCCTTCTCCTTCTCCTGCTCCTGCTCCTTTTCCTCCTCCTGCTCCTCCTCTTGCTCCTCCTGCTCCTGCGCCTGCTCCTCCTCCTCCTCCGCCTCCTTCTCTTGCTCCTGCTCCTGCTCCTCCTCCTCCTCCGCCTCCTCCTCCGCCTCTTCCTCCGCCCTCCGCCTCCTCCTCCTCCTCCGACTCCTCCTCCGCCTCCTCCTCCTGCCCCCACGGGACCTCCTGGGCCTCGCGATGGGGTGCCCTGGAGGCCGTGGGGCCGAGGCACAAGCAACAGCAGTTGGCATACGCTTTCGGAGCTCCGCGCGGACCCCCGAAAATCTAAATCTTGATGCCACTGCCTGCTTCCCGAATGGAGGGCCTCCTTGGCACTCGCGGGTCATGGGGGCACCTCTGCCCCCCCCCCCGGAGTCCATCCGGTGCAGCTTTTCGCCCCGGATCCGTCTTTCACAGTCCTGGGAAGGCAGAGGCGAGCAAAAAACAGCAACACAGCTTCTGGTTCTTACATGCAGTCAAAAACCCTATAAGGACGCGCGGTAAGAACGCAAGACCCTTGGAAGCCGAAGTTGGGATTTTTGGGGCGGCGGACGACGAAAACCCCAAGACGAAACCAAGGAAGGACGGAGACGCACGAGCAAGGAAGAGCAAGGACGCAAGGGTACCCTGAGCAAAATCGCGGGTCCTTATTAGGGTTCTTGACTGTAAGGTCTTCCCGAACCCAGAACCTCGAGCCTGCCCGCCCGCCCTGCCCGCCGCAGCCAGCGCTGGGCCGCCGCAGCGACCCCCAGCCCACGGACACCCTGGGCCAGCAGACGCATCCCAGACGGGGCCCGAGCAGACGGCGTCGGAGGACCGCCCGCCGCACCGCCGCTGCATCGCCGATGCATCGCCGAGGCACCGGCGATGCGCCGGCGGTCCACCTGGGAGGCAGGAGGAGGAGGAGGAGGAGGAGGAGGAGGAGGAGGAGGAGGAAGAAGAGGAGGAGGACTCGAGCCGGGGGCACGCCCGGCACCCCCCGAGATGGTGAGGGCACCGGCGTCGGAGGCGAGGCGCGCGGCGGGCAGGGCCAGCGCCAGGAGCAGGGCCGCGAGGGGCGCGGGGCGCGCGGGCGCGGCCATCGCCGGGGATGCCCTGAGGAGAGAGGCAGCTTTCGGCTTCTTTGGACACCCGAAATGGGTACCGAAAGAATGGGCACAATGCCCAACAACAAATGTTGTCCTGTTCAAAATGAGCAGGAACTGCTGTTGGGCATTGTACCCATTCTTTCCGTACCCATTTCGGGCGTCCAGAGCTTCGGCCCGCATCGGCTTCGGGCCCGTCTCTCCGGCGGCGAGCCCCGGGACTCGTCAGCAGGCGCGAGGGCTTCCGAGCAGCCCCGCCGCCGTCTGAGAGGGCCTCCTCCTATTCCCGCTTCTGCCCCACCGCTCGCCGCCGAGTCTCGGCTTCAGGCCCGTCTCGGCTCCATCGGTCTGTTTCGGCCTCGGCCCGTTTCGCCTTCGGCCGGTTTCGGCTCTCGGCCCGCTTCGGAGAACCCCCGCCGCCATTCTGAGAGGGCCTGCCCCCCTCGGACTTCCCCCCCCGGGCTCGCCGCCGAAGGGAGGGGTAATACTGGTTTGGCGGACTTTTCGAGCCATAACTCGGTTTTCTGGCGGCCGTTGGAGACGACCAGGCAGCCGCGGAATGCTCTCGGCGAGTCGCAGATGCTGGTAAGCACTCCGAATCGCCGAGAACCGACGAAAGCGCCAGAAAACCTCGAATCTCGACCCCCTGGCCCGAGGGAGGGGGGGGAGACTGGTCTGTCGGTTACACGTGTGACCCTGGGTAAGAGTGACCTTTGGTGCGCGGCTTTTTCGGGGCCGTGGGGGGACCAAAGCTGGGCGCGCAGGCCGCTGAGCCAGCTTCGCTTTCAGCCACCTGGGGACCCGTCTGTGCCCGCACCACAGGTCACTCCGGCGAAAGGTCCCTCGTACGTCTAGTCGAGTCTGGCGGATGCATCTGGGGGGGGGGTCCCCATTGCCCGGCGCGGCCGGAGAACGTGAGCGGAGAGCGCGTGCGCTGGCGGCGGGTGGCTAGGCCTGGCCGCCGCAGCTCGAGGACCGAGCTCTGCGCGGAGCGGGGGCACCGCAGCCAGCTCCCGTCAGATGATCCTCAGAGCGCGTGTTGGCCCTCGCGTGTGCCTGTCCACCAGAGCCTTCCTCTTCCTCATGTTCCTCCTCCTCCTCCTCCTCCTCGTCCTCCTCCTCCTCCTCCTTCTCCTCCTCCTCCTCCTCCTCCTTCACCTCCTCCTCCTCCTCCCTCTTCCATCCCTCCTCGCTCCTCGCTCCTCCTCCTCCCTCTTCCTCCTCCTCCTCCTCCTCCTCCTCCTCCTCCTCCTCCTCTTCCGCATCATCCCTCCTCCATCCCCCCTGCCCAGATCATCTGGGACCGGCTTAACTCGGTAGCAGATTTCTGGATCGGCGATTCCAGGTCGCGACCGGATCTTGCATTTTGCGCCATATCGATATGTTCGAAAACCGCTATTCTTTCAACCCTCTGAATTTCGGTATTGATAACATGAATTTCGGTAGCGGTCGCGGCGCAAAATTCGGTATCGTCGAACGCGAAATTCGGTAGCGGACCAGGTGCGGATGTCGAATGCTGGTGATCATGACCAGGGTCGGCTATCTCCCGCACGTACCAAAGGGGGAGAGGAGAGCAGTATTCATATTGAATAGTTGTGGACAGAGGAGGGATGAGAGGGGAAGAGGGAGGCGGAGGAGGAGGAGGAAGAGGAAGAGGACGAGGAGAAGGATGAAGAGCAGGAAGAGAAGGAGGAGGAGGAGGAGCAGCAGAAGGAGGAGGATAAGGAAGAAGAGAACGAGGAGGAGACGGAGGAGCAGGGGAGAAGGATGAGAGAAGGAGGAGAAGGAGGAGAAGGAGGAGGATAATACAGATGAGAAGGAAGAACGCGACTACCTGCCGTAATCCGTTTCAAGTTGCCTGCCCGCTTGCCCGCCGCCTGCCTGCCGCCTGCCCTGGCCATGGATTTCGATCCTGTGGCTGATACGTTTGGTGGATTGCGCAAGGTTTGGGTGACGCCGACGACGACGAATGACGACGCCGACGACGACGAGGACGAACGACGCACCTATCTTAGAACGAAGGCGATGACGGAGTTTGCTGAGAGAGTGGACGAAGCGGAACGGTTTCTGGAAGAATCCCAGGGGGAGTACGCAGAGTTGTACCAGGCCAAGGAGGAATTGGAGGAGGACGCGACGGGGGGGAACGATATCACGCCAACGCCGATCTTGGCTGGGCTGCTTTCGGGGCGAGGGCTGGCGCATGATCGGCCAAACCTGGCTCGGCCAGCGGTCGCATGCGCCACCCTTCCACCCGCGATTGGCCTAGCGCGGATCGACGGTGGCGTGAAATCGGCGAGGAGAATAAAGAGCTCAAAACGAGAGTTGCGAAGTTAGAGATGGAGTTGAACAAGATGAAGAATGAGAAGAAGAAGAAGAAGAAAGAGAAGAAGGATGACAATAAGAAGCCTCAGTGAGCGGGCTCGGCCGCTCGGAGCCGTCGACGTTTTCAGGCCCCTTCGGCCTCCAGGGTTCCCATTTTTCAAGGCCATTTTAGGCCTCAACAAAAAAAAAAACCACAAAAAACACCCAGGGCCGACGACCAGAAGGGAGGAAGAGGGGCAGGTTTCGTCGTCGTCCTCCTCCTCCTCCTGCTCCTCATCCTCCTCGTCTTTCTCCTCCTCCCTCTTCTCTTCCTCCTCCTTCGCCTCCTCCTCCCCCCCTTGGTCTCCTCCTCTCCCCCTCCTCTGCTCCTTTGTGTCAACGCCCTCAATCCCTGCCCCTTGTCCTCCTTCATCACCTCCCCCCCAGACTGCCCATTCTTTGCACGTGCACTTTTCGCCACCGCGCCAAGGCACCCTGGCCAGCTTCCGTGCTGGCTAATCGGAGAAAACACGAGTGATTTCGAAGCCCGCTGCCCCCAGGGGGGGCGAAGTCGGCGCGCCATGTTATGCAATGCCATTCTACGCTACGCCGCGCAGCTATTCTATGGTATGATATGCAACGCCATGCTATATGTTATGCTATGTTGCGACGACGCTGCGCAATGCGATGCCAACGCAGTTCTCTTTCCAAAGGTGAATCGCAAAGCGAACAATGAAACCTACCAATGCGCCAGCGCTCTGCGATTTTCTTGCTAAAGAGACGCAGATTGGAACCAATCATTATGGCGCCAGCGACGAGGCTACAATGGCGCATAAAATCTTCTGCCATGTAGCACCACACTATTTTCGGATTAATCCACCTGGCGCTTTGTCCCAGGTGGAAATAGAAATGGTGCTTGTTGACCGTGCTCCATTTATATTTTGAATCGGCCATGGCCTTTGAGGCCAATGCACCGTAAAAGACTAGTGTCTTTTCTACAGCCGACTCTAGGCGGGCATATTCTTCCGTAGTCAGAAACATCCCAGCACCATCGATGACCTGATAATACTCGTTGAGGTTTTTCAGGCAATTCGTTCTCCACTGGCGCTCATCGGTGCCGTCGTCATAGTCATCGCGAATGAGTTCTAAAATCACGGGGGCGAGGCACCTCTGCTGAGCGGCCTTTATGCTCTTCGACAAAACGGGGTACTCGGAATGCGGGCCCTCGACCTTCACGAAATGTTTCAATGCAAAGGATCCGCGGGCCACCGAAAGTGTAGAGTTAGCACGTTACAGACGCACTCATCCCACCGCCATCGCGCCCCCCACCAGGTATCCTCCTCCATTCCCTTCTCGCCAGAACCTCCTGGGGCGACGGGGGCACGGGGCGAGTTTGACCGAAAAGACGGGGGGAGCCCCTCCCCCAATACATATTCAAGTTTTCACCCTGCTGCGCCCTACCCTCTGCCCTCCTCCCTCTCTACCCCCGCCCCCTCTTCTCCTTCCCGTTGCCATGTTTGCTCGTCTGTCGCAATTTTGGCTCAGCCGAGTCGTGCTCATTTTGGTTGTCGGAGATGGCGTAAGCCAACTGAATGAAATCCTATGCTTAGTACTCTGGCGATCGTAAATCTGCTGGATCCTCGTCCAGGCGCGGGCAACGGCAGCTTTGATACTCTGTCCGTGCGGGCGTTGTTCGTATATCATCTCGTACAAACAATTGCCCAGTATGTGCGATGCCACACCGAGGTCGACACAATGCATTGAATCGATCGACAAAGTGTGGGCATTGACGCCCCAAACTTCCATCAATGGGTGATTGAATTCATAGGGGTGCTCACGCCGCACAGACTTCATCCAATGTTTCCTGTATCGATCCTGGGAGTCAAGCGCACGAGCTGATGCAGGATCGTGCTTCTGATTTTGTTTTGCTGGGATGGGGGGAGGGGGAGGGGGAGGGGCGTCAGGAGATGGGGGTTCGGGTTATTTGGTTTTCGGTATTTCTTGGCATGGGCTGTAGTGATCGTTCGGGCTGGAGGCATTATGTTCGTGTTCTGCATGGATGGATGCGCGCGCGTGCACAATGTCATGCTCTCCCTGACCCCAAATGCATAAACTACATTCGTGCATAGATACATATACGCATCTGCGTGAACATGAGAGTGAGCATCGCGAGGGCCCCCCTCACCCCCTTCCCCGACATTTGCGAAGACACAAGTTTGGGGTACTGTGAGTGGTGTTTCATCCGCCCGTTTCCTTCACGAAATCGTTGAATGGATTCGTATCGCGATTTGCATCGCAAAGCCAGCAGGGTTGTGTTGAATTTGGTCCTGGGCACCCCAACGTCTGAAAATATTCCATGCCCCCCTGTATGCTGTGAATCCACCCGCGGTAAGGCTTCTCAGCGCTGCATAGCCACTTGCCCTTCTTCAAATCACGATCGCTGCCGACAGGGAATGGATCGCCGTTCCAATCGCCCGCGCCAAATGGCGCTTCGAGCGCGTCGGTGAGATTCCCCGAAAGATTCGGATGGAGGGCGGCCCCTTACAAAACCAAGAAAACTATCATTCGGACGCGCTTGTTCCTGCGGAACTCCCCTCCGCAAAGTGATCGGATGGATGGGCGGACATCTTTCAAAACGTCAGGCAGTGGCTGTGCGAAGCAATTGTTATCTTTAGTTGGATGCTTCCCTGAGGCCAGAGAGTTCAGGCTCCATTTCAGCACCCGCCAAATGGACTTCCAAGTATCTACCCCATGGTGTGCTTCCTTTGATGTGATAGAATACGGCCGCGCCGCCATTAAATTACACAACTCCCTGGTCGTCCCCTTTGAAAGCAGACCAGTAAAACTAGTAACGAGAACGGAATCGTTGGCCATCATCTCGGCTCCGTCACCGTGCAAGCGCAGCGGCACAAACCATTTTGTCCTCACCTTAGCGGGCTCCTTCCAAATGGGGTGGCCTACGAGCTTGGGGTCGTTCCTCGGGGCTGTAAACTTAAGTCTACGCGTGGACCGCGTTGACGGCTTCAGCGCGCACGCATGTTATATGGCACGCGCGCGCCACTAGTCATCCGAAACTCAATACGCGCGAATGCAACGCATTGCAAATCAATTGGCGCGTGCATAACATACATACGCGTGGGTTTGCCCAACAGTGTCCTCGAAACGCCCTTCCAAACATACATACGCGTGGGTTTGCCCAACAGTGTCCTCGAAACGCCCTTCCAAAAGGCGGGTAAAGCTGCAATGCCAAATAATTCTTCAAATTCCGTAGGGTGGTGTTCAAACATGCTGGAGAACAGGTCATGCGGCATGATTGCCGACGCGTCGATATCAGCAATTTCCAATGTCTTGGGCGTCAAATGAGGTACAGGAAACACTTGTGGTTCTGGTAGAGTGTTCCCCTTCAGATATCTATTGGTGAGTTCTTTATGCAAATTCCCAGGACGCGTGCCCCACGCACCCATCTGAACGATGCTTTCGATTTCTTTGTTTTTGGTACCGTCCTGATGCGCCGCCAGAATAAATCGATGGACTTCCGTCGCATGGAGCCTGCCCCACGCCCAATGATTCAGAACCAGCGTCGATAGGTTTGAAAACTCCTGCCAAAGGTCAACCGAAACTCTTGGCTTCTGTTTCTTATCCTGGCATCGCGCATGGAGATGCGTGGTTGACTTCAAAAACGAAAACCTGAAGCCGCCCGAACACTGCCTGGAACAGAAACAAGCTAAATCGATTCGGTTGACCGTTGGCTCCTGGGCCTCGATATATTCATCGTTCGGGTCAGGATCACTCGACCCTGCGCCGTCTGAATCGCTGCTTGGCGCTTGCACGGGGGGCAACCGCCGCTTGGCCCTGCTGGCCATGGTGCCCAGCTCGAGCAGATCTGGCTGCGACACAATGCCACGCGTTGGCAACGTGCCTTCAGACTTGAATGGCAAGCCGACAGGGCGAGAGAGAGGCAATTGACTTTGTCCTCGCCCCAAAGCACTCGCGGGGGCCTTCCCCACGCTACTCGCCACGGGGCAGCTTGCTCTAGAGGGGGCGGCAAGACCATTATTGGCTTATTGACAACATGCCACTGTCCGAAACCAGACGGCCAAGTATATCCAACTGTATGAAACAAAACCTGTGTGTGACTAAAGCTCCTGCAAGGTCTTGCTACCCTCTCAGCTGCTATTGAAACAGGCCTCACTTTCCCTGCATAAGCCTGCAGCCGATCGCGAGCTTGAACTGCTCCTGCGTGCGCAAGATGATGCCGACCGACTTGGGCACCTTGAAAGACTGCAGCTGGATGTCCGAGAGCTGCTGCAAGCACTTGCTGCGGAGCTCAATCAAGATCTGAAGGCGCAACGCGAAATCAAGCATAGACCATGGCACAACTGGGCGAATCCCTCCTCCATCCACGCAAGATAACGGACACAGAACCCACAGCGCACATCGAATGCCAGAATCTTCGTCTGTCGGGTTGCCACGCCTTTGCAAGGAAGGTGCAAAACATCAACGAAACGCATGCTCCCGTGATGCGCCGAGCATGATTCGCAGCTTGCACTAAACTGCACCACATCGCCTGAACACCTGAAGGTGTAAGAATGTTCGCCGTTCCCAACGGCAGAACTGAAGATGTCAGAACAAGCGTTAAACTATTCTGGGGTTAGGGGTGGCCCGTGCATTGTTTTTGTTTGTTCCGCTTGTTCACCTATGTGCCAACCCATTTACACGACATTCGAATCTGGGGTGCATCTATCTCCCTTCATCCCTCACCCGCCCCCTGCAATCGCGCGGCCTTCTTCGCCTTCGGCGACTCCTTCTCCAGGAAGGTCCCCTTCGCCGATTTGATCTCGTCCGACAGCTTCTGGATCACGACCTGGGCATCGGCTGCATGTTCTAAATCTGCGTGCAACCGCACGCACGCGAATCACAATACGGGCGGATGCAGTGGGACGCGTCAAACGCGCGAATGGGGCGCAATGTGATCTACAGAACTGCGCCAGCATACCAGAGCGCCGACACAAACGACTGAACCTCGCATGGGCTTCGACCCCACAAAGAAAACGCGAATGCAGAAACACGCCGACATCACAAGGAAAACGTAACGACGTCAACTAAATCTGGGGCCGCCCGCGTGACCGTGCATTGCTGGCTGAACTTCTTGGCGGTCTGGGCGCAGTCCTCCTCGCTCTTGAGGTCGGACTTCTCCAAGTCCAGCGATGTCTTCAGGTAGTCGTACAGCTTCTGGGATGCGGATTTCATGGCACACTGGCTTGCTGGAGCCGCAAACGCGCCCTCCGAGTCAAAACGTGCAATGCAACCAGCGCAAGATCTCAATACTACCCCATGCAACGCAACCCGAAAAAAACTCAAGGCAACACAAACCCCCATGCAGCGCGATCTGAACAAACTGGATGACGCTTTCATGGCACAATGGCTTGCTAAAGCCAAAACCGCGCCCTCGTAGTCAAAACGCGAACTGCAACCAATGCGTGATCTCAACGCTACCCCAAAACTTACAAAGGTACTACCAGAAGCGAAAACTGCCGACGCTCCCTTTCAATGCTGGCATGTGAACACTTAGAATGCAAACTGAAACGGGCGAGCCTTCTTCGCCCCGTTGCCGCGACCAGCTCCTTTCCCGCGGCCACCTCCGCGCCCACGACCACCGCGGACTTTCGCATCCGAACGGGAAGGAATCTCATCCTCGATCCCCGAGGCCTGGCTCTGGTCCGTCTGGTAGCCCATGTTGTCGTAGTCAGCTGGTAGGCGCATTTTTTATTTAGAAAAATTGGGAAACATCACAATGAGGAACACCCGAACGACACAACGACCTTCGCCCTGAACCCCAATGGTCGACCAGTAATTCCGAGCGGCTTAAAGCGATGGCGACGAGGATCAGGGCCCCCAAAACAAATCAGGAACTTTCATTCAAACATGTTGTGAACATCACAAATGACCGCATCTATTCTGGATGATCAATTCCGGACTAAATGGAGCCCCCCCTCAGGTTCGAATTAGGAGATGCCCTTACTCGGCCCCCTGCCGACCAAGATCAATTCAACATAAGGGAACAGCTTCAAGACAGCCCCACATCGTTGAACGCTGTTTCTGGATGGGCGCGCAGGCATGCGCGAAGTGTCAAGAAGCGCACGTGCACGTTGGGAAACACGCGCGTTCATTGTGCGAACGCATATGTGTGTAGCGCGCTATGAGACATCTATACACACATTGACACGAAGCTTCTACAATTCTAGAAGAACAAACAAGCGAAAAGGCGTCCGTCTTCCAGGTTCTGGCGCATCTTTCCCTTGCCGATGCCCGTGATCATCTGGTTGAGCGTTTCGTCGTCGACCGCCTTGGAACCCCTGGCCGCCCTGGTCTTCTCCTTCTCGACCTCCTTCGAGAAACCCTCGGTGATGTCCAGGTAGAGCTTGCGCTTCGGGTTTCTCGGGTTCCGCTTCGCCTGGCTGAAAAATGACAAGGGGAATCGGCGCGGGGTGGGGGCGGGGATCGGGGAGGAGGAGGGCGAGGAGTACGAGGGGGGGCGAGGGGGGCGGGAGACGCACTCGGGGGGAGGAGGGCGAGGAGGGGAAGAGGGGGGAGGAGGAGGAGGAGGGGGAGGAGGGGGGGCGAAGGATGGGGGAAGGAGGAGGAGGAGGAGGAGGAGGAATGGGGAAGGAGGAGGGGGATAAAGGGGAGGGGGGAGACGCACTACAGAAGCCTATGACACCATGTGACACATGCCAAATGTACTGCTCGGGGCTTCGGATCGGCAGCTCTTCGTGATCGCCCTGGGGCCGACGAATCGACATTAGAACACTACTGGAAACATATTGTGACATGCCCACTACACTGGCATTTCGAGGGTTCTGGCTTAAACGACATGAGGGCTCGATCGCGTCAAGCTGAAACATTTTGGCTCCATGCGGGTGGGATGGCATCGTCCAGATGCGTCGGCTCAAATTAGAGATGGTCTGACTTGCCCCAACAATCCCGACAATGTGGCAATGGGGGCTCCACCTAATATTTCAGGGTAGCGGAGCCGTTTGCTGCGACTGATCTGACGACTCTGACGTTTCGGGGGAAACGACGGCAATGCAAGGGTTCCTTGAGCTTGCCGTCGTCGAGCATCTCTTCGGCCTCCGACTCGCCGTATTTGTCGACGAAGTACTTCCAGGGCTGGAAGGTGCCCTCGACCTTGAGCTTCTCCTTCACGCCGATCTTGGCGCAGACCTCCCAGAAGCCGTTGCCCATTTCTGGATCCTCGGGCTGGCGCGAGCAGGAGGAGCTCATAGAGGGGAGTTGGGGCAGATGGGCGGGGAACCAAATAAGAAGGATCGCCGCAGGCGTCCTTGATCCAGGCCATGAGGAGCTTGAGCTTGGCCTTGTTCTTCCTGCCAGGGCCAGACTTCTCAGCCTAGCGATGGCAAGGCGGATGCATTTGCATATCCTCCTCCTCCTCCTCCTCCTCCTCCTCCTCCCCTTCCGTTCCCCTCCCCTTCACGCTCTCCCTTCGCAGTTCCGTCCTGATCCCGTCTCCCGTCCTCCTACCTCCACGCACTATTATCCCTCCCCTTCCCCCTCCCAACCACCGCCACCGCAGCCGCTACCACCGCCGCCACCACCACCGCCGTCACCGCCATCATCCACCTACCCCCCGCACCCCCCCCCCCCCCCCCCCCCCCCCCCCCCACCATCACCACCCCTCCCCATCCCCCCTTCCCACCCCTCCCCCTTCCCATCCCTCCCTCCCCCACTCGTCCCCCCCTCTCATCCCTCCCCTCTCTCATCCTCCCCTCCCCCATTCCACCGCCCTCCTTCTCTTGCACCCCCGCTGCCAGCCTCACCGTAAGCACTCTCCACCTCTTCGTTGCCCGTGCGCTGGCTGCTGAACTGGCCGTGCAGCCGCCTGATCTCGTCGTGGCTGAAAATGGCCCTCATCTGCTCGGGGTCCGACGGGTCCCCCGCGCGGCTTGTGGCGTTGTTTTCATGGGGGGCAGATCCTTCCCCATCCCACCCCATCCTCACCTTCCCCTTGTCTGCCTTGGACTTATGCACACCTCCACGCATTTGCCAATCCTGTACTCAGTTATTCTCCATCTCCCGTGCATGTTGGGGCGTAAGCTGAATGTGAGTTTGGACGGGCACAGCGTGGACATTCATTCGTTGTTAATGTCAAGGCAAGGTTTGTCTTGGCTCCAGCGTTTCATTATCGTGCGGCGTCGTTTTTCCCCTCTACCTCTCGCTCAGTCTTCCATCCCCTGCCTCCCTATTCCTTTCTCTCCCTCTAACTCTCTCTCTCTCTCTCTCTCTCTCTCTCTCTTTGTTTCGATCGCTCTCCCTCTTCCCCTCTCTCCATGTTCCATCTCTCTCCTCCTCATGTCCTCCCCAGCCTCATCCCCTCTCCCCATCCCAGCCCCAACCCCTCCCTCTCCCTTATCCCTCCCCCTCCCCCTCGACCTCCACATCTCTTATCCCGCCACCTTCTCCTTATCCCGCTTCCTCCTGAGAAGGCAAAGGAGGTCCTGAAGAGATCAACTCGGGCGTCGAAGTCCAAGCCCTCGGCCTTCTTCTTGATCTTCTCGCGGGCGATCCTCGCGGTGATAACATGTATATGCATTTCTTGCACAGCGTTGGTTGCGATATCTGACAATCGAGCCCAAGGGGGGAAGGGCGGTTCCGAATTCCAGCCAATCTGACGGATCAATGTTTTGTCAAGGTTGCACCGACGTTCGTTTGCGAACTAAACTCAAGTGATTGTGGTGGCTCGTCGTTTAAGACGCATCCGACGCCCGAAAATTACCAACTCAAATTCGAAGAATGGCCCACCAAGGAGCCCAATGTGATAGACGGTCTCTCCAAACTGTGGGGGGGGGAGAAGTCGGGGAGGAGGAGGCGACAACCATTCGCTACAGCTGTCCTGAGCTTGTCGTCCTTGGACGTCATGGTATCGCGCGACGTAGGCGTCGCCAAAGCAGTTGAAGCGCAGGGTTTCTTCAAGATGTTGGCCCCCTTGATCGTGTCCAGCTTCTGAGGGGCATCAAATGCGAGCATGCCAACGCAATCCCCCCTGGGGCCCTGGAGCCAAACAAACGACGAATCCATGATAATACGAGATCTGAAGTGTATGACGCATCACCAGAAGCGACTTGAAACCATCTCTCGGAATGGCCCGATCAACTTAACCAAACAATACGCGTGACATATATGCACTACATATCACAGATTGCCTTATCATCATTCGGGGCAGAAAACTAGAAACAAATGCGCTCGCCTTCGTCTTCATCGAAAGCTTCGGCGCCATGCTGAAGTTGTTCTCGAAGGGGTATCGGTTCACGTCGTAGCAAGAAGGCTTCGAAACTCTCGAGCCCACTCAAGCTACACTGTGAAAAATATCAACACCGAAAGCAAATCATCTACAACCTTCCGCGCACAAAAACTGGCGCATCAAAACAACGGTGTGTAAACAGCGGGCCAGGGATGAAATGTTTCAGCGAACAGTCTGAAACCACCAGAAGAACAAACCAACGCCCAAGACCTTATCCATATTGACAGAAAGCAGATCCTCCAACTTCGAGGGGCATGACATTCACGTGGGACACGTGTACACATGTAAGGAGATTAGTGGAAACGTGTGGTATTGTGATACATGAGTAGATGTCAGTTGCTGGAGTGGTATTTGCTGAAGAAGGAAATGGAAGTAGTGTTGCGTATGCAATACTTGTGATAGGGGATCTTTGCGTGATGATTTCTATATATTTTGACAAAATATATTCAAAATATGCTTATGTATTGCATTATGGTAACCTAGCATATGACAGTATACATTCTGTTATGTAGTAATTACTCAATCACGTTATAGTCCTTCCATGTTGACGTTTGCTGACGTTTGCTGACGTTTGCTGACGTTTGCTGACGTTTGGTGACGTTTGCTGACGTTTGCTGACGTTTCAGACGTTTGCCTGACGTTTGCAAACGTCAGGCAAACGTCAGGCAAACGTCAGCAAACGTCAGCAAACGTCAGCAAACGTCAGCAAACGTCAGCAAACGTCAGCAAACGTCAGCAAACGTCAGAAGTCGTTTGGTCACGACTGATTACATTATATGTCAATAGATTGATATAAATGTTTTATTTATCTTCAATTTGTCATAACAATGAGTTATATCTTTGAACACGAGTTCATTATTATTTCGATATTGCAGTGAATATACGTCTTCCATCGTGAGGTCTTCAGTGAATATATGTTCTACATGATGTTACTCTACATGCAATTGTTCACTGCGATGTGAGAGCAACCACCGATGACTTGAATTCGATCGTGTAATGAAGCCATCCATGTTATATTACTTTGCTCACATGATACACATCTGAGAGTACGATGTCGTGCCAAGTGTGCTTGCATATGTAATGTGTAAAACGTATCACACATTCGCACGATGCACGCGATGTCACGTGGCATCTTCCAGACATCTCTGCTCGGCCGCCAACCTCAGAAATAGGCGGGCTTATTTCTTAAACTTGAGTCGCCACTCAATCATTGTCATCAAGCGGGGTCAATTCATCTCGCGTAAATTGTTCACAAACATTCGATGCGGCTCCGACCTGCTGAACAGACAACTGAAATCGCGTGGGCCACAGAAGCCTCAGCAAATCAAACTAATCAATTGCGAACGAGGGCAT